ATGAAAACCATCCATTGGCTGTCTCTCTGGTTGGCCTAATAACCATTTATCAAATAATTCACATTTCCCCATTGATTGACAATGCCAGTTTTATCATGCAATACATTACCATATTTGGATTTAATCCTGTTGATCTGCCCATTGCCATAATGATAAGTTAATAGACCAATAGAGAGGAATAAAGTCTTTTCATGCTGGACTGTACGGTTAACACAGAGTACCTTTGCATTTGTTTTTGTTTTTTCATTGTACCTAAAATGGCGCTGGTGTTTTCCTCCCCTGGTTCTCATATAGTTCTTTTTAAACTGATTTTGGTGTCTTTGTATGGGATCTTTGTTCCTGCTGTAGTAAATAAGTATTTTTTTAAACCCACGAATGTGCAGATTTCAAAATACTAGCTGATCCCACGCCACCTACATGAGTTCTTTTATTGCACACAGGGACTTCCCAGGCACTTATCCTGCCTTCCCAGGTCTATAATCATACCTTCTGCAGAGCAGCAATTAGCTCCCGATTTCCGATTTCCAAACCTCTAATTTCTTTTGCTTTTCTGACACTAAACGGTTTCACAACACCAATAAATTGCAAGTGTTTTCAAAGCAAATGTATTCTGAAGTTTCACCAGGGTTTCTAAAAGCTAAGAGCAAACACAGACTTAATGCTCTTTTATTCCTTTGATCTGAACATTATTCGTAATTTTATGCATGTGGCTTTACTAACGTGTGTGTGCGCGCGCGCGTGCGTGAGTGTGTGTGTGTGTGTGTGTGTGTGTGTGTGATTCACTAATCCTGTGCTGATAAAGAATGACAAGAATGACCCATCTTACCCTGAAAGGGACACAGAGAAACGTGAAGTTTGGATCTCTTATGAGTGGCCTCCTCAGGCTCACACTGAGCTAGGAAGGGAAAACATGCCATACCACGTGTCCTGGAGGCACCACCTCCTCCTCCTCCTCCTCCTCTGCCTCTGCAGCCAGCCCCAGCCTTTCACCCTCAAGTGCAGACCTTGCCAATACTAACTTTCCAGGTGAGACAGGCTGCCTAGCAGTCCACTGAAAATGCCCGTCATTAACTGGGCCAGAGGTGCATTAGTCCACAGCCTGAGGTTTCTTCCACACGTCTACATTTCATCGCCACTAGCAAAATCATTCCAGCTTGCAGAAAGGAGTCTGGAGGGCCACCCAGAAAGATGTATAGACATCTGTATGTGGATTTCACCCAAGTAAACAACACAGTGTTGACGAGCAGGAGGCCAGAACTGGAATTGAGTGGGAGGTGAGAGTGTGGCAGAGAATCCCAGGCCTTTTAGATTTCAAATGCATGGGAGACTCAAAATGAAGTACTGTGCTAGGCACCAAAGGAAAAAAGACAGTTTTGCGCATTATCTTCCTTAGTACTTTTTCATTGCTCATCAAAGCTCGTGCACAGGTGCCCATGCCTTTTTGAAATTCAGCCACTGCTCTAAAGGGTGAGTTATACCTTAAGCGATCGCCACAAGCAGAAGAAACAATTGATGTAGTCAAAAGAAGTATTCAGAAAATGTTCTTTGGCTCTACGGCCACACTTCTCATGTTCTGTAGCTTTTAAGGCTTGGCACAGCTCTTCCAGGATAAATATGATAATTTCCATCTTAAACAAACGCTTGCTTGTATAGGAAAAGGAAATGGTACCCTCAAGCCTATTTTTGTCTCCCTCGCTTTGTCCAAAAAAGGCTAGTCAATCAATACTTCTGTCTGCACTTGGAAAGTTAGCATTGGCAAGATCTGAGCTGCAGGGTGAAAAGGTTGGGGCTGGCTTCAGAGGTAGAAGAGGTGGTGGCTCCAGGTCATGTGATCATGAGATAGTTTTCCCCTTCTAGCTTGCTGTGAGCCTAAGGAGTCCATTACCAGGTTGTCCGATCTAGCCTTGATTGCATACGCTGGGTTACAGAACCCAGTATGGACACTGCTGCTCGGTTGGATGCCTGTTTTTCTACATGCTCATCATATGGGCTCAGCCTTTCTCTGATCGGTTTTCTTGTGTATAAAATGATACCTACAGCACAGACACTCTGTGAGGCCCCAGTGGGTGATACATGTCATAGGCTTAGAAAAGGAACGGACTAAGAGCCCCACAAATGTGCTGTTTTTCAGTAGCACCATATAAATTTCCCATGGAATCATGGCTGTCATCCCAGTTACAGAAAGAGGACAGTTGATTGGACTCTGTTTAAATGGAAACCTTAAAAAATTTCATTCTCAGGACTAGGGGTGGGGGAGTGGAGATGGCCTAGTTTACAGGAAAGAGTTTGCCTTGTAAGTAAGAGGGCTGGGTTGCCCGGGATTTGTGCAAAAATGCTGGTGTGTTGGCACACCCTTGTAATCCCAGCACAGGAGAGACAGAGACAGTGCCTAACTGGTGAGCTCCAAGCCAACAGGACTCTGTCTCTAAGAGGTCGATGGTATTTCTCAGTATAAGCCCAGAGGGGGTTCTCTGGCCTCCCCATGCTCACTTGCACACGCATGTATGCACACACACACACACACACACACACACACACACACACACACACACTCTTTTTTCAATTCTTTATGCAGGCACACTTATATTGTTCCTAATCACTAATATTCCCTGTCCAAGCATTACATAATCTTACTTTAGCCCACTCAAATGTTCCAGTTGTTTTTCCTGGTTCAGTTATAGTTCATTAAGATAAGCAAGAATAACCATATTAAAAAATAAGATACTGTAGGAAAGCGGATTGAATAAGCTTTCAAATTGCAAATTTTAGAAAAGAGTGCTATAAGATGATGGATTACACCCTGACTCCTATAAGTTCGACCCTGCTTGTTGCCTTTAGGTCTTGAGAGATTGATATTTTTTTCAAGTTGTATTTACAGCCAGTTACAGGATTGTGCTGATTTTTTTTTCCTGAGACAGGGTTTCTCTGTATAGCCCTGGCTGTCCTTTAGAACTCACTCTACAGACCAGCTTGGACTTGAACTCAGAGGTCTACCTGCCATCTGCCTTCTGAATGCTGGGATTAAAGGCATGCACCACCACCGTCTGGCAGTGATTATTTTTAATACAATATTTTTTATTAATTCTTCAAGGATTTCATACGATTGATTTTGGTCACATCCCCTCCACTCCTCCCCCAGCTCCTCCAAGATCCGGTCCCCACCTCCATACTTAACTTTGTGTCCTTTTTTTTTTTTTTTAAAATCCACCAGGTCCAATTTGTGCTGATCATGTATTTCTAGGCATGGGACCACCCACTGAAGTGTAGCCCGTCTACCAGGAGCCACGCCCCTAAAGAAAACCGACCCTCCCTCTTCTAGAAGCTGTCAGCTAGGAGTGGGGGCCTTTGAGTACCTCGCCTCTCCATGCTCGAATGTTGACTAGCCATGCATGCACATATATATATTTAAAAACTTCACTGGAATAGGAACCATCACATGACTCATATATAATAAGAGGAGGTCTTTTTGCGACATTTCTGTCTATTTTACGCCTACATATGAAGGTATGTATGTGCTAGGCTGTGACAAAATAGACTTTATTTTGAGGGTCCCAAGCAAAAGTTTCATCAACACTGTATGGGTTGCTCAAGACAATGTCTTGTTTTACTTAAATTATTGTTCCTTGGGGATTCTTTTTAGGAGTACTTATTCATTTTTTCCAAAAGAAGGGCAATACAAGGTCAACAAGCTTTCTTTAGCACAGCAGAGCGCCCTGCCATGGCCTTGGCCTTTTCCAAGGGGCAAATGTGGGCCACCCACGCCAGCACTGCATCACTGCCACTCAGGAAGGACTTAGCTGCCGGCTGCAAGCCAGGGTGAGAAAGACCCCGAGGAGCTCACCCAGGATGTTCAGAAGGACCTGTGCTGGACACGACAAGTGTGGAGCCTGCCTGACCTTCCCCTTCCAGGCCTCATTCTTGCTTTAAAATATATATAGTCAGCTTTTTAAGCCTTAATGTACAACTTTATGTGAAATTCTAATACATTTCATCTGAATACATGAATTTTTTTATTTACTTTTATTTCATTTGCATTGGTGTTTTGCCCGCATTTATGTCTGTATTAGGGTGTCGGATCTCCTGGAACTGGAGTTACAGACAGTTGTGAGCTGCCATGCAAGTGCCAGGATTCGAACCTGGGTCCTCTGGAAGAGCAGTCAGTGCTCTTAACCGCTGAGCCACCTTTCCAGTCCCTACACTGAACTTTTTAAAGCATTATTTTGTGGGTGCTTTGCCTTGTTGTATGTATGTGCACCACATGTGTGCCTGGTGCTGGTCCAGGTCAGAGGAGTGTGTATGTTGGGTCTCCTGGGACTGGAGTTACAGATGGTTATAAGACACCATGTGAATCCCGAGACTAGAACCCAGGTCCTCTGCAAGAGGAACAAGTGCCCTTAACAAGTGCCCTGTGAGACATCTCTCCAGACAGCCAGGGCTATTTCTTATGGCATAGTCTTGAACAATAAAAACTAACCATGTTGGTTGTAGTGAAAAAGTGAATGTTGATGATTTCTCCTTAACGATAACAAAGAACTGGGGAAGGAAAAGTGAATGTTAGCCGCTTCATAAAAACCATTCATTTGGTAACAGTGTATATGTTTGTTTTCACTGTCTCTAAAAAATTATCACACTTTATTGTGTGTATGCGTGTGCATGTGCACCCTGGTATACAGGTGGAAGCTGGGGGGTGATCTTCAGGAGTGGGTTCTCTCCTCACATCATGTGGGTCCTGGGCATGAAACTCAGGGCACCAGGCTTTGTGGCAAGCGCCTTCAAGTGGGCCACCTCGCCAGCCCAGCACTGGTGTTTGAAGACTATGTGTACTCTTATTGTTTGATGTTTTTCTCCGGATTTAGCCATTGGCTATTATATATATGAAACAGTCCCTCTCTGTCCCTGATTGTGAGCTACACTCTGAATCTCCCTTTCATTTTTCCCAGTGTATAGAGGAGGAACAGACAGCATCAAGCACCAAATGCCTTTTGTACATAAGCTCTTACCTTGGAGGAACGGGGAGCCTGGGACACAGTGTATCTGCATTTGGACTCTGAGTATAGTTGAAGGAATTCAAACTATAGACACACAGGAAAGACCCTGAAAGCAGAACACATATACACTAGGCTATTTAAAAAAAAAAAATGTATTGCAGCCATCTTCCTTGGGGAGCCAGTAAAGAAGCCACGGCTGTTTTCCCAAATCACGAAGGAATTAGAATGTATTACCCAGCCTTGGAAAACAGGTGGCCTGCACATGGAAAGAACAGGTGTGTCATCTGAGGATGACTTGGGTTCTCTTTCTTTCCAAACCCCCAAATTTGACATCATAAATCACAGGATTGTCATTAAAAATGATTTGAAGGTTATTTGAAGATGATTTATTGTAGGAGCTTGAGATTTTTCACCCAGCTTTGAAAATGTTTTTTAAGATCTCACACTCCATTTTTTCAGACAGATAAAATTCACCATCAAGTTGCTTCATTTTTTTCCTTTCCTTTTTTAATTAAAGTGCATCTGAACTGTCTGGACCAAGTGGTTTTAGTACAACTTCTGACCTTTTTCTGTCAGTGAAAGTATTCAAGGTCTCTGACAACATTAAAAAGCCCCCACGTGGGTGATTTGAACGGGAACCTCAGGGCCCTATGTCTGCTGTCCCCTTCTTAGCCTCTGAGGTAGATCTGTGAGCAGGGACCACACCTGGGGGTTCAAATAAGCGCAGAAAGCCTCAATGACACTGAACAGGTTCCTGAGAAAACACTCCTGGTCCTTTCCACTAAGAGACGCCCGCAAAGGGGCATACTTCCTACCTTTTCAGAGAAAGTAGCTTCAGGGTAAGTTACACTATCTATCTGGGACCCTACAGGTTGCTACACCAGGTGATCTGGGGGAAGAGTAGGCCCTTAACACTTACCATTGGTGTCGGCAAAGTGCTGGACCTCTTCCAGGGTGTCCAGCTGCTTCTCAGGACAACTGGATACACAGAGGGCCGTGGGGCCAAGCCACCTGTCCTCGCCGTCCAGATCGCAGGCATTCATAAAGAACACGTGTCTATAGATGGAGGAAACAAAGGCCCATCGCAGGCCACTGAGACTCATTGGTTTAACTGTGGGCTCTGGAAATGTATCATGTACCATCACAAGGGGGAATGACTAAGACAAACTTTTGTAGCCAAATGCATCCGAATAACCGAACATTTATCACACCAACTGGCGGCATCTTGGGAACCCGTATTCAAATGGGAACAAGCCTCTCCTTTTCTAGGGTCTGCATCTGAGAAGTGAGGGATCTAGCAAGAGTTACCCGAGAAGTCACGGAGGAAGAGAAGGGTCGATCAAACTGTTTATGATGTGCTTCAAACTGGCATATAAACGACGTAATGGAGACGGCTCTAAATTTCAGAGGACAGTGGAGCTCAGAGAGGTGACAAGTGGGAAGGAGGGAGCTGAGGTTGGGGACTTAAGTCAGCCTAAGAGCCAGGACAGCCAGGCTGCCTTCAGCTACTCAGCCCCAAAGTAGGCTGTCGCCATCAGTGCGCTGGTCATGCACTCTCAGGGGCAGCTGCGCCACCCCCCCCCCAACCCAAGGCTGATACAGGCTGCCAAAGCCACAGGAACTCAGGGGAAGAGCCCTGGGGGGCTGACTGTGAGGGGAACACCTGGCAAAGGGGTCTGTCTAGAAGCCTCTCCACCAGGGATGGGAGGAAGGACGGTTGTGCGAGAGAAACGGTGGGACACATTTCCCGGGGTGAACGACACACGCAGACCTCATTTTGTTTAGAAATTTAAAATTCTGTTAAAATATACATCCAGTTTGCCTCCTTAATCATTTCCAGCACACAGTTCAGGGCACGGACGGATCTGTGCAACCGACCCCATCACCAGCCTGTGGAAACAGTTCCAATAGACAAGCTCCTCATCACCCACCCACCCCCAACCCAGGAAACCGCCAATGCACTCCCTTCCACATCCCAAGCAGAATGCAGAATGCACACTACCTGTCTGATTCTGAGACCTTGTCATGGGAACACTGAGCATCTGCTAAGCTTTAGTTCATGCAGAGTCTCAGGGGAGCGTTAAAACACCCTGGAAAGATAGGCATAATTACCAGTTTAAAAAGACGAAAACTGGCCTCAGAGAGGCTAAGGACTCTGCCCCCAGGTCACAGAGCTGAGAAATAGTGGAGGCTGAATGTGAACCCGGGACTGGCTGATTCTACAGCTGCTTGCTCCTTTACCGGCACGCGCAGCCTCCTTTTCAGATAGGAAGAGTTGCTAAGCTCTTAAATGAAGGCGAGGTTTTGAAATACAGCCCCAGCCCCTCTGTAGATTGGAGATCTAAGTCACAAGACTTACTTTCTGAGAGTCATGTCCTGCCCTGAGAGGGGGGCCCCTTCCACTGGGGAGTTCCTCTTGCCACACACATTGCCGAAGCTGTCATAGCCGAAGAGGAGTCTTCCCACTGCTCCAGCCACCACCGAATAGCCCATGATGAACACCTGGCAAAAACCCAGGGGCATGTGATGACTGCCTGGCCGGGGAGCAAACCACAGCCCCTCACATCCCCGGAGATGAAGGTGTGAAACACAAGAACAAGGATGCTCCACAGATCCACAGCTCCACAGCCCTCCCCTCCCTTAGCAATTCCACCCACCCAGGTAAGGTCCAGCTTTGTGAAGCTGGTGTAGCAGGTGTGCGTGCACACGGGGTGGGGGTGGGAGTGGGGTCCTAAAGCTCTCAGATTCTGCTCTGCTCTCTCCTCTTCTTTCTCTTCTTCAAGAAGCCATCACTTTGTGATTTTTCAGCCAAACTTGACCGGGATAATTTCATTTCATCCCTTCAGCACGTCTGGGTTATCTAAGTGTATCAAGTGCACATAATGTTTTCCTGCGTGTGCATGTGTGGGTGCGCATGTGTTCACGTGTGGGTGCACGTGTGTGCACGTATGCGTACGTGGAGGTCAGAGGACAGCTCTGGCTGTTGCTCTGCAGACAGCATCCACGTTGGTTTTTTGAGACACAGTTTCTCTCCAGGCTCGAAACTCACCAAGTAGGTTAGGCTGGCTAGCCAGTGAGCCCCAACCGTTATCTGTCTCCATCTGTCTCCTCCCCTGGTCAAATTCGGTCCTCTCACCTGCAAGGCCAACACTTACTGCCTGAGCTATGGGGCATCCCGTCTTCCCTTAGAAATGTGCTTTTCCTATGACTTATAGGGAACTCGATCAAGGCTGCACAGTCGGTACGCATCAACGCACAAGTCTGAAGGAGCATTTGGGTTACTTGCTTAAAATCTCCAAAATAAAGAACTTATGAGAAAAAAAAAAACGATCTCAGGGTTCTGCTTGGCGAGGGCATCTTGCAGTCAACCGGTGTTTTTTTGTTATTTTGTTGTTGTTATTTCATAAATCTACTTTTATAGTGAATGTGGAACATTTGAAACTTCAGTCCAATCCACAGACTCGTACACATCTGTCTGTCCTCCTGTCTGCACACTGTCTGTCCACTGGCGAGATTTCTTCTCATAATACATACTTAGGAGGGGGTAAGTTTCCCGATCTACTACATGCAGAAGGCCATCTAAAAGAATGTGGTGCTAGCAAGCTTCTTCAGGGACAGAGGCTGCGGGATACTGTCCACTAATGGGGGTGGCCATATGCTCCAAAGGTACCCTGCCTTGAAATCAGTGAACTTCAGAGGCTCTGCATTCATTGTCAGTTTTGAAATAAAAGTAATAAGCTGAGCAGGTGGTGCATACCTGAAACCCCAGCTCTCAGGAGGCAGAGGATGGAGGATCAGGAGGAATTCAAGACCAGCCTTGGTGACAAAATGGGTTCAAGGCCAACCCCAGGCTACACAAGACCCTGTCTCAAAAAGACAAAACCTAAGTATTAAATATTCGAGTGCTCAGTGGATACTAGAGACTTTACTAGAGGACACAAAGACAAACAAAACCGGGTGACAACCCTTGAAATTCACTTCCCAGGATTATTATTATTGATGGCACTGCCCTGGGCTGGGGTTGGACCAAGAGGCTTAGGGGAAGACACAGCCCCCAAAGGAACAGGACTTAATCAACTGCAGACCGCGTGGGGGAGGGGACCCTTGTCCCTTCCCAAGTTCCTTCTCAGTTTAGCTAATGAGAGTTTTAGGATATATCGGTCACCTTTGCTAACAGTCAGGGTCACCCTTTCTTCTCTTCAAGGCAGGGCACTAAAGGGTGAGTCTGTGTGCCTAAATGGCCTTGGCATGTCCGTCTTCTGTCCTGGTTTGGGATGTGAGTCCTGATGTCATCTGCACTTGTGTGTGTCTGCTTTTGCCTGTCTTATCAGAGACTTATCTAATCACAACATGATAGTTTCTCTGTGCCCCGACTTCCTGTGCATGCCTCCCTTGGGAAGTTCATGGGGAGGTGAGAGATTTGAGTTTTCTTGGGTTCCCTTCACACCACTGTAAACAATCACCACAATTTTAATTCCACATGAGGAGAGGTGGTGAGCAGTGTAACAGGGCCCTTGAAAAACAGACCTCAGGGAACTAAACTTTTCCTAGGGGTCCCAGACACTCCCTCCCACGGGAGGAGGGATTCCACATCCATCAGGAAGAGGCAGCAAACAGTACTGATATCTATCACACAGCTCAATCGGAATAGGAATATTTCCTGGCTTTGTTTTCCTCATTTTAAGACTCCAACAGAAAAGGTGGAGAAAAACTAACAACTTTTTGGCCTCTAGTTCTGCCCCAGACTGTAAATGAACGCACTTCCTTTCTCCAGCTCCTGTGGCCTGGTTTTCTTTTGTCAAGGTAAGGCTGGCGAGCTCCGGGCCTCAGAGCCCAGACTCCAGTATCAGCAGTCTAGGAAGTGTGCATGTTAGTGTGCTGTGGCTTCAAATGAAGTCGCTCCAAGCTGGCTCTGGGAAATGGGAGTCTAGAAAGATAACTAAGAAAGGGTGATATGAGAGAGGACACTGGAGGGTAAGGAAAGGCAGGGATCATTCAGAGCTTCAGGCTTGCTTTCTGTTCATGTATTTAATACAAGCATCAGCACAGGCTGGTGCTCTTTCTGCTTGCAGGGGACCAGCCCTGCTTGCAAGTCTGGCATCCTCAACCGAGCTGCTTTGTCCAGCCCTGACTGAGGGCAGCGACATCAATCCTACACTTGGTCAGTTGGTCTATGATGTGATGACAGGATCCAGAAGTGGAACAATGGATGAACACACACACACACACACACACACACACACACACACACACACACACACACACACACTTTGTTCTGCTTTGGAGAGGTATCTGTAGCTAAAGATTTTGCAGAAGAGGAAAGAAGCTAGTCAGCTAAGAGAGAACTCTTATGACTAGATGTAGTGAAGAGAATCTGGGCATATGGAAACCTTTAGATTTATCCTACAAACAAAGTGTGCTTTCTCTGCAGTTTCCATCTCAGTGCGTGCAGTGTCTCAGCCAGCTCATAATTCTTCAGGCTGTGAAGGGCCATCTATGATCGTCTCCCTAGGCAGCTGCCCGCCTGAGAGTTTGAGGGGTGGAGGGGCCAGGGAGGACCATTAAATGACAGTAACAGCCCAAGGTCAAAGTTGCAGAGTCCTCAGGAGGGACAACTGCTCCCTACATTTACAAAGCAGCGGAAGTGGAGGAGAACAGACCGTGGACAGGGGAGGTGTAAGACATAGTAGGCACGCAGACTTCTTTGGGCTCCTTGAGGAGAGGTCCAAGGGCCTCAGCTAGAGCAGCAGCAGCAGCAGCAGCAGCAGCAGCAGCAGCAACAGCAATCACCTCCAGGCCCAGCCTTCCACTGTGTGTCCAACCAAGTCTATCTACACAAAATCAGCTGGAAAATTAAAAATTGAATACATGCCTTCTTTACTTGGGTAGAACAAGCATGGTATTTTAGGGTGAATTCAAATAAAGTCTTTTCAACGAAGGTAATTACTACTAGGTCTATATAGGGCACTGTGAGTTAACCATTTACTATGCAGCACATAGCATGCCCCAGCTGGCATGGGCGACTTCCTTAGCACAGCCTTTGAAAAGGGTGACTGAGGCTCCAGGACTAAGAGAATCAAGATTCAGCTCCACGAGACTCTCAGGATTGACTCACCAGGGTCCGATGGGGTCTACCACCAATCACGTGTACCACCAATCACGTGTACCACCAATCAAGTATGTAAGGAGAGGGTTTGCAGCACGTTACTAAACACAGCAGGCCAAGGAGGTGCCCATGTGTACGTGTGTGTCTCTGTATGCACCCAGGAAAAAAGCGATCTCTGGGCTGTTGTTGAGGAGTATTTGACTGAAGACTTCCATTCTGAGAGCTTGGATAGGAAAGGAATTCACCTCACCCTTACCAAAGGAAAGACACGGATTCTCCAGTTCCTAATGGGGACCCGACAAATCTCGGTCTGCTGCAAGAAGACAGCCTCCTCAGGGAGCTGAGGAGATTGTGAAATCCCAGAAGAAGGATTTCCTAACTCAGGCTCCTTCTGGGCCAATGTCCTTGCAGCATAAACTTTAAACGACTCACATTTAAGACACATTTGTGTCTGGACACACACAACGGGGCCTTGTGCCTGCCAAGCGGCCGTACTTACCAAACCAGTCCAAAAGAGAAAGAACAGAGCTAGCCACGCCGTATCTGTGCATTTCCTGTAAATCTGGGGTCGCCACTCTCTCTGTCTGGGTGTTTTCTCTTCAGAAACCTTCCAGGAATATAAATAAATAAATAAAAATGGAGAGTTGAGAAAATAAGGAGAAAACAGGTGAAATCAGCCCAACCGAAACCTATCCAAAGGCTGCTTAAAGTAACTCAACTTTGTCACCTGACTCTTTCTCCTGGGGGAGACCTGCTCTCTGCAGGGTGGGATGTGAAGTCCTCTGGGTGCCTAGTTCTTACTGGAGGTAAGAGCACCCTCCGCCCCCTAGTCCCTAGCGTCTTCCTGACCTGGGCCCAACACACTCCCTCCGGTCCAGGTGTCCTTAAAGGAGCGGTGTCGCGGAGCAGATGGCTTGATCACCAAGGGACATGGGAGGCGGAAGCGTCCTGCCTGTGCAGGTGCCCGCAGAGGCCGCTTCCCTCAGGGCCCAGGTTGTCGCCCTTACCAAGTACTCGGCGCCCAGGCACTGCATGGTACACTCGGTAGCGAGGTCAGGGATTGGCAGCCGCCATGCACACCGGCCCAGAGGTGCAGCAGCCGGCTCAGGTGGCCCCGGCAGGGCGGGCAGGGCGCAGCGCCGCCTAGCGGCCGGGGGCGCTAATCCCCTAGGCCCGCCCTCTCCGCTGTGGCTTTGGCCGCCTGGGAGCTGGGGTGCCACCCACGCAGTCCCCGGCTCCTAGGAAGTGCACCTGACTACTGTGCGCCAGCGGCGGGCTGTCAGCGCCTGGAGGAGTAGGAAGTAAGGCCCCAGGGATCACTCCCGAGGGAAGGCGGGGAGCTTGCAGGGGTGTGTCACACACAGGTAACGGGCGCTTTCGGTGTGCAGAATCCTGCCCCGAGAGTTTCACCAGCTTTTCCTCGACAAGCATCAAGCTGCAAGCTGTTGTTATTGTCCTTCAGCTACCGACCAAGGGAGACTGAGGCATGGGACAGAAGTGGTGCTCAGGGGGACACAGGCTGTCAAGGGGTTCCGTGTCTACCGTTCCAGCTACCATTTCTACAAGGCTGCATCCTTTCGCCCACAGAGTACCTTTCAGAAACTTGAGTCTCAGGAACTCAACAAGGACAAAGCCCCCAGAGACCAAGGACTGACTTAATCTCGTGTGTGTGTGTGTGTGTGTGTGTGTGTGTGTGTGTGTGTGTGTGGTAGGGGCGGGGGGAAGGGCGCGCTGGCTCACTTCTCTCCTACTGTGCATCATCACCTGACTGTACAGTGGTCATCCTTTGAAGCACACCGGGTGTGTATGTCCCAGGTGACAACAGTTTTATCTTCAACAATCAGGTGGGCACGAAAGCGCTGCTGAGGTGAAGAGTTAAAAAACACCAGCAGAGGACCCTCTTTCTCGGTCCGCTTCCCCTGCTCCAGCTCACCTGCTGTCCCTCCAGGCCCTCAGGCTGCTAGCTCACTGCTTCTCCCCAGGGGTAGAAACTGGATTTGAGCAATAGAAAGGGGAGCGAGTACAGTATGAACAGTGCATGTGCTTATGGATGTGAGGCCATCCACTGAAGCCTGACCGACCTACCAGGGCTCACCCCCACTCTTAAAGAAAATTGACTCTTCCTCCTGCCCAGAAGCCATCAATTGTCAATAGTTCCTCAACCGGGGCTAGGGAGTCTTTCTTCCGTCCAGATGGCAGTTGGCTGGTTTGTTCTTGTGCAGGTTAGGAGCAGGCAAGCACAGCCACTCTGAGTTCCTAAGTGCAGTGGTCCCACCATGTTTCAGGAGATATTTTGCCCTAGTCCTCCCTGACCTCTGACTCTCACAGTCTTCCTGACTCCTCTTCCAGAATGTTCCCTGAGCCTTGTGGGAGTAGTTAGGAGGAAGAATTGGGGGGTGAATATCATCAAAATGTTTTGCATGCATGCATACAAATCTAAAACAATAATACAAATATTATATTTTTAAAAACCAGGGAGTGGGTACAGGGGAATGGCAGTTAGTGGCTCTCTGGTTTGTGGGGGTGGAATTCCTTCTAGGCTAATCACCCTCCTAACTCTCAGGATCTTCCTGAATGCATGCTTCTCAGAGCGAGTAGCTGGAACTCCAGGGGACCCTGAATTCACTAACCCCCTCCCCAGCAGTCTCCAAGTAGACAGTGTGTAATTACAGAAAGACCACAGTTGAATCACAGCATCCGAAACAAATTAGGACTAGAACAGATGGACAGAGAGGTTTAAACACACACAATATGTATATTTATATTTACAGAGATGAGTATGGTAGTAACAATGAAGCTGGAAAAAAAAATAATGAAACCAGAACAGAAAGTTCTATTAGGCATGGAGAAGATGGCGGTTGGAATGAATGCTTATTGGCACTATATAATAACAGTGTGGAAGAAGCAGTAGGCGAGATATAGCTGAAGATGAGTGGCTGACTGGAGGAGATGCAGTATTTGTGTTACAATCACCTCTCTTGTCTCATACACATGAATGGTCTATGGATGTATGAATGACCTGAGGAAATTTCCTACTTTCATTCACCAAGTAATTATACCTGTCTCTTAGACGTCTCTTACTCAAGTTTTTGATGGTACACACCGATCTTGAGAAACCATTTGTTTCTTCTTGAGTGTATACTGAGAGTTCTAACAGAAAGCTTGAGAAAGTGGTTCCCGCGACCTGGTCCTGAGGGGCGTTAGATCTGAAGATGCTTACCAGAGAAAACACACTGTGGCAGACACATCTAATTTTGGCACATCTAATACAATTATTGACACTAGAAAGTGCTACTGAAGGACAGCTTCAGCGCCCTTTCTTATGAAATATGCAGTGTTAGAGTGGGAGAAATAATCTCCAAGTCACGTGGAGACCCCCCCGTCTTCCCCATTGATTAACCCCGTCTATAATTTCCTAAACAGACAAAGAACCCACATTGAAGGAAAAACCTAAAATACAAATGACCCTGAAAGAGGACTCGTGACTAACAATGCCATCACTAGCTATGACTGTCCACTCCCAGACCCTATTCCAATTGGAGGCCTTGGTGGAGAGGAAGAGCAGGGTTTGTGAAGATGGGAAGTGGCCCAGAGGACAGGACTGAGACCTACTGGTTCAGCATCAGCTTTTGCTGACTTCAGGCCAGTACTTTCCTTGTCCAGTTAGATAAATGTCATGGCTGGCAGAGTCCATTTGTTTACTCTGAAATGTGAGACATTTGCATTTCATGATGGTTATTAAAAAACAAGCATACCATCTGCTTTTGTTTCTTACCAAATATCT